TCCTTGGCACCTGTGTATGTCTATAAAGTCATCAGGTAGATTTCAATGGTAATGTTTGTCACCTCTACTAATTAACATGACGTAATTAACATGACGTAAATTTCCATGCTTCCTCCTCAAATATAATATATTTTAAAAAATTTAAAAAAAAAGCATAGCAAATCTTAGGGCGTATTTATGACCATTTCTTCACAAAGAATGAAGGTTCCTTCTTCAAAAAGAATGAAGGCTCCCATCCATTGTTCTACAAAGAATGGAAAAAGGCTCCTTGGTTTACATGAGAGAAATGGGCGTTAGCACTTAAAATCTTTGCAAATTTAAAAGAAAATATTTAAGTGTCTAAAAATGATTAAATACGAACAATTTTCAAGTATTTTTAGGCTGGGCCTATCTCCTCCTTTGTCCTTATTTATGGGAAACATTTGATTTCCTTTTTGACTTAAGCCAATTTCTTAACAGTATTTTACCTGTTAGGTTGCTAACAACCATTTTAATTAATTTATTTTTTAATGATTGTAGTAAAACTATAGATGATGCATGCTTGTTCATACTGAATGTAGTGACATGTATCAAGGAAGAAAACTGCCCAATGTGACTTGAACCCAACATTAAACATCTCAGAAATACTTCTTGAGCTTCAACACCTCTCTTTTACTTTTTAAAAGCTGGGTGTGTTTACTTTTACTCTATCCCAGGTATAGAGTTTATCTTGGCATAGATATAGGAACTGAAGGAAGAAAGGATAGGTGAAAGGCTGACAAATGTCTTCCCAAGGGCCTCAGGACGGCATCAAGAATATTATCCTCCTAGTTCCACTATTACCATTATTTTAAAACTTAACATTATCTTCCTTTCTGTAGGCACTGCTCTATACAGCTACATCAGTGGTTCCTAACAATGTCCAGTTTTGTCCTCCACAGAAGATACATCTGATAATGTCTGAAGACATTTGGTTAAGTATAGAATGTATCTTGTGGGCTTAGGTCAGGGATGCTGCTAAACAGCCTACAATACACAATACGCCTCCAAACCAATCCCAAACAAAGCAGTATCTGGACTCAAATGTCAAGGGAATAGTACTGAGGCTCAGATACCCTGACCTAGTATATACTTTCTTATTCAATCCATAAACCTAAGTATTAATGTCACCATTTGACAGTTGAAAGCCCAGGGCATAGTAAGGCTACACACATCCTAGTAAGGGATGGTCCATATTTGATCCTAGAACTGTCTTGATTCCAGAGCCCTTGCTGTCAACCACTGTTGTGTACCCGACTTGGGTACTTTGGTGAATTTACCTGCACAATCCTGGACTTCAGTTTATATCTCAGAAATTAAGCAGAAGCAGGCCTGTCTCTTGGGAGCAGGCTCACATGCTCACATTTAAAGACCTTAACTGATACATAAAACCAGAATGCCAATTTAGTAAGTACTTCCTGGATGAAGCAAGAAGTCAGCATGACCAGTCAGTTCTCTCTCTGCAGGAAAACCACAGAAGCAGCCAAACCATAATTAAGAGGTTGCTTGGTGAGAGGAAATGGGAAGTTAAGAGTTTGTCAAATGAATGTCTAATGATTACCAGGCTGGACAGCCCCAGGCAGGCGCATACACAGACAATACACACACACAGACACACACACAGACACAGACACACACACACACACACAATGTGGATCATGTTACTAGTGAGGCTTCCACACTTTAGTTGGGTTGGCTGCAACTCTCTACAGACCATGAAGACCTCTGCTCCAAAGTGAGGCTGTAATTCTGTTTCCATGGATGACAAACCAGGTAGGTAGGACTGCTACAACACTTGCACAAGTGCAAAAAAAGAAAACATGGTCGCTCAAAACGACTTTCCAGAGGAAGAAAGCAGAGAAATCAATCAAATGCAGAGTGCTTGTGAGCATGAGGCCCCTGAAGGTAGCAAACTCACAGGATCAACACATGCAACAGGTAATGAATGGAACAGGTAATGTTCTCAGTTCTCAGGGTGACTTGTCATCTATGTCCCCTGACTCATTTGTGTTAACCTTAAATTTTAATTCACAGAAAGCATCCTAATCCTCTAACTTAACTTCTAGCTGCGACCCTATATGGAATAAGAATGATTTCCAAGCAGCTCATCAATTACCCAGTATTATTTATTACTTAACACCCCTCTGATCTACTTTATCATATAACATGTGTCTGTGTTGGGTTATCTGCTTCATTAAACGGTTGGTTTTGTCAATATTATAAGGATTGGGTTCTTGGCATTGCTGCAATTTTTTCATCAGACTAGAATGTGCCTCCTATAAGCCAATCACAAAGCAAACACTTGCAATTCTGAGAAGGTGCTTTGGTGGTGGCACCTTACAGCTCCCCAGAGTCATTTCAACTGTTTCCTCTAAGTAGAACTCTTATTTTCTTCCAAATCACCCCTTCTCTCTAGCCCCCACTAAAAAGTCAGATTAAAAGTCATGGGTCG